CCCATCTCTTTCCTTCCCAGGGACCTTATCGTTCCCTCGGTCTCATGTCCATTTGTCTTTCTTGGTGCACTGGAGCATCTAAAACTCAATTAGTTAGAGAATTCCACTTTCTTCTCACGTTGTTTCTACCTCTTATTCGCATCCTGGGATGTGGCNCTTCCCAGGGACCTTATCGTTCCCTCGGTCTCATGTCCATTTGTCTTTCTCGGTGCACTGGAGCATCTAAAACTCAGTTAGAGTATTCCACTTTCTTCCCACGTTGTTTCTACCTCTTATTCGCATCCTGGGATGTGGATGAACAGCCAGCTTACTGTCTGGCGTTCATGGAAGACTGTTCAGAATACAGGAAAGGCCTGATTATAGGGGAAGGGCACTCGATTTCACTGAGCTCTGGCCAAGCCAATGTACCTTAATGGACTACAGCAGTGTTTTTAAAACTTCATCATTCATCAGAATTACCAGGAAAGCTTGTTCAAACATGGATTGTTGGACCTCACCACNGACTACAGCAGTGTTTTTAAAACTTCATCATTCATCAGAATTACCAGGAAAGCTTGTTCAAACATGGATCAGCATTTCTGATTCTGTAGGTGGTGGGGTGGGGCAAGGATTTGCATTTCTAATAAGTTCCCACGTGAAATGGATGCTGCTGGCCCAGGGACACACTGTGAGAACTGAAGCCCAGAGTGACCCCAATGCACAAGATTGAATTGGTTTGGGGGAGAAACGTTAATGCTACTAATTTTTTAGTTTCTGGTTGTTTAAGGCAGGTTTCAGTGGGAAGAAACCCAGAGTCAAATATTCCATTTATCTGTATAAATCTGTATGAATGGCAACTGTTGATTGAGTGTATCAGTGGTCTAATCAACAGAGAATGCCATGAATTGATTAAAAGTATTCTACAACTTTTAGGAAGTAGCAGTAGCCCTGTGAAGAAGTCATTCCAAGTCAACCACACCCTGGGATGAGTGCCCATCACCTGGGTAATGTAGCAGTTTTGGTGTTGCGGATTTCTGTGCATCATTCATAACCAGTGGCTCTGCACTGGGGCCAATTCAGAGTTAAATAATCATTTACTCAGGTTGAGAGATTCACACAGCAGCTTCCAGAAATGAGTCAATGGTGAGTCAATTAAGCACAGATTTAACCTCAATTTAAGCCAAGGCCAAAAGAGAAATCTGTCTGCGCTCGTGAACTTTTTGTTTCNCTTCCAGAAATGAGTCAATGGTGAGTCAATTAAGCACAGATTTAACCTCAGTTTAAGCCAAGGCCAAAAGAGAAATCTGTCTGCGCTCGTGAACTTTATTTGTTTTCCTTTGGATCACCATTTCATTTGCATACAACCCCACTGCCTTCTAAGAAGAGGGGATGGGTGACTTATATTGGGTACTTGTGACAAAGATTCTGGGCTGGCAAGTTAGGACACTGGGAGTCCTATTAAAAGAGAGGGCCTAGGTCCTTGGGAGAAACAGAGAACTTTGGAAACAATGAGCAGTCATGGTGCTTGGACATCCAGGTAAATAACTCTCAAGTAAAGACAAAGGTGAGGGTCACTGACCTCTCTTGGGCATAGACTGTGGGAAGACTGGACCTCGCCCCCAACGGCTCTGGACATGATGGGGGAGTAGTTAGGAACTTCTCTAACCACTTATATGGGAGAACTTGCCTTAAGCTCCTTGAGCCAAGCGAGAGATGTCAAAATCTGCAAAGCCGGAATCCTATTTTAAGAAGTAAAAGGACAACCCCTAAGTTTGGTTCAAGAAAGAAGGGGAAATCCTAGAAATGGAGGGAGTGAGGAAGTGTAGACAATGATCATGAAGGCTCTTGGTTCCATAACTGGAGGATGATGAAGGTGGAATTAGGGGTGAAACAGGGAGGGAACTTGAACTCAGGACTCTCTTAACAAAACAGAAGTGTAGCCAAATAGTATGACTGTCTTCTATTTCCTGTAACATTCTGAAATCTGGCTTGGCCTGTGGGAAACAAAGGCCACTTTTTATTTTAGAATAATTTCAAGCTTATGGAGAAGTTAGTTGCAACAGTAGTATAAGGAACTCCTCAAAAAAACCCCTTTGCCTAGAGTCAACATTTTGCTCATTGGCTTTATCATTTCTCATCAATCTACCTATCCCATTACACTCCCTCCCAAACACACATTGTACTTGCATATCATTTTTTTCAAAGGTATTCGAGAGTTTATTGCAGATACCATACCCCTTTATCCCTAAACAAATCTGATTTTTTGTTTTTTAAAGAATGACATTCTCTTACATAACCAAAGACTCATAACCCAAATCAGGAAATTAACATTTCTATAATATTAATCAAATCTAAACTCTACTCCTTATTCATATTTCATCCAGTTGTCCAATCATGTCACTTATAGCTTTTATTTTTCTTTCTGGTTCAGGATCCAAGATCACTCAGCACATTTAGCTCTTCTGTCTCTTCAGTGTCCTTCAATCTGGAGTCGTTTCGCAGCCTAACTTTTCTTTCTTGACCTTGACAGTTATTTTGAACCATTTGTTCTATTTGGCTTTCTCTTGATTCCAGGCAGGTGATGCATTATAGGTAGGAATTCCTGAGACCTGGTGTGTCCTTTGCAGGGCATTGTGACAGGTGGGACGGATACCAGTTTGTCCCAATATTTGATCGCATGGTTAAATGGTGTCTACCAGGTTTCTCCACTATAAAGTTACTATTTTTTCCNATAGGTAGGAATTCCTGAGACCTGGTGTGTCCTTTGCAGGGCATTGTGACGGGTGGGACGGATACCAGTTTGTCCCAATATTTGATTGCGTGGTTAAATGGTGTCTACCAGGTTTCTCCACTGTAAAGTTACTATTTTTTCCAAGGCCTAATTTTAAACCACACAAACTTAAGCAATAACATGGGAAAACAAAATATACTAAAGCTTCCCCGGTTTCTATAGATGGACGCTTTGCCTCTCTATACTTACACCTATTCCAGAGTCTTAGTGATTCGGGGGAAGTTTGGGCTGGAAAGTATCTTAGATTTCTGGTTCTCTGGTTCCCAAATGTGGATGCTTGCTGCTGGTGGGATGACATGACTTTTATGCGCTGCCCAGTTGCATCGCTCAGTGGTAAAGGCTTTCCCATTTCCTCCATCTCTCCAACTGTCCCAGTGAGTTGCGTGTGGTTGGGCCAGCTCCAAAGCCTGAGGACTCTATGAGTGAGTGATGTCTACAGTGGCCTGTCCTCGCAACCCTGCCCGACCCCTGCGGACTCATGTCCCTGGTTTCTTTTACAGAGTCAATCCATCTCGAGCGGTGTTCCTCTTCTCCCAGCATTATTGCCTTTTCCAAAAAACCCGGCCTTCTGGTGATGTGCTCAGAGTAGGCCAGCTGCAGTACCTTCTGGCTGCAGGAAGTAATAAGGCTTAGTTGGGTGTCAGCCTGTGTCAAAAATTTCAAATAGTTGCAAAAAAGGGCGGGGGTGGAGGGTGGGGGTGGGAAAGGCTTTTGTTTCCCAGCCCCGGGGAGGCCCGTCGTCTGGAGTCATTCACTAGCCTTTTAAAGAGTCGCACTTGTTTTTACAGTTGCTTGCTGCGCTTCGTCAAAAATGAATATGACATTTCAATTTACAGCATTTACAACAGCTTTCTTTTAAGTTACATTCTAAAACGTGAAAACACGTGAGTGAGTCAGCTTGGAGAAGCTGTAGATGTGGGGCCGTGGGGGTGACCAGGAGATAACACAGGAATTGCTTCGGGCGGGGGAATTCCCACCCAGGAACTCCGAGGCCACATTCCTTAGGGACAACCGACAGCCTGCCGGGCCAACCCTGCCTGGCCACGGCCTTCCTGATGGAAACCGCGGGTGGCAGGCAGGGGACAGCTGCGGGCAGGAGAGAGAGCCGGCCCGGAGGAGGCCGGGCAGCCTTAACGGGGTGCCCGGGCCGTCCCCCCCTTCTCCAGCTCGCGCGTCCCCGTCCTGAGACGCGCTGGTAGCAGGCGCTGCGCGGCTCGCAGCTTCCTTAAGGCCCCGTGAGGGCGTGACGCGCGGAGGGTCCAGGGCACCGGGCCAGCAAACGAGGCTGTCACACCGAGGCCACTGTCCTTCCGTGGACACGGGCAGGGCCTGAGGAGGCGCGGGGGCTGGAAAGCACTCGGGGACTCCCTCCCGGCCCCGCCTCCTGGAACCCCGCGGGCTGCAGGGCGCACAGCCCGGGCGCGCGCCTGCCCTTAGGAGGTCGCCCTTGCTAAGCACAGGAGG